CAAGGCAAGGCAAGGAGCCCAGTCAAAAACACAGTGGGCCGGCCCAGCGGATCCCTGCTGGTTGGCAGGGAAGTCCACGTTCCAGTCTCCACTCAGCCCTGCCCACAGCAGGCACCGAGCAGCCTGGGAACTCATGGCATGAGAAACATCCAAGTTAACATGAGATGCAAGTTCATGGGCCAATTCATCAAAGACCGGCCACCAGTACACCCAGGCTGAGCTGAGAAGGGGGTGCAACACATATTGGACCACAGCAGCTGCCCAGTGCCCCGTGGAGGGAGATGACCTTTGCTGGAGCAAGGAGCCAGTGCAGGAACAGGACAGGGGGCGTGAGGGTCGGGGTGGGGCGCTCTGGCCCTGCACCTACCTGCCAGGCTGGGAGGACCTTCTCAAGGTCGTTCAGGTTGATCCCGTCCCCATCTTCCAGCTTCCCCTTCCCACACCTGGAGCAGAAAAGACAGGGGGTACTGAGAGTAGCTCATTTGTGCATCTTGTCCCTGCCTGGCCAGCAGGGGTGCCTGGCCTGCCTCCCAAGGCCTGCAGAGCAGCCTGTCCCACCCCAGTGGAAGCCACCCTGAAGACGTGACCCTTCTCACCGCAGGCCTGGCAGCACAGGCCCTCTGGTGACCAGCCTGGGCTGGAGGTCACCACTATGATAGCCAGCAAGCAGAGAGGAGAGAGGAGCCCCAGAGTCCCCTGTCCCCCTTTGGCAGAGCAGCACCGATCCTTGCAAATGAACACCATCAAGACCTGTCACACCGCCGCACTAGGGGGACTCTGAACAGAGAGGCCAAACCGTGTCCTCAAGGCCATGCAGCTCAAGGCTGGCAGGGGCCTGGCCTTGGCTGGCCTAACAAGGCCCCCTTGGACACTGGAGGCTTCATGGTTGTGCCCTAGGTGGGCGTACCCTCAGCCAGGGACACCGGCCTGATTCACTGGGCAAAGGTCTGCAGCTTGGGCATATTTTAGGTAAAGATTCTGGCACGAGACGGCCCGGCTGGGACCCTAGCTTTTGTTACCGGGTGATCTGAGCAAGCCACTTCCGCTCTCTGTACCTCAGTTTCCCCATTAGTAAAACAAAGACAATCAGAGTGGCTCCAATGTGGAAAGGAGCCCTGGTGAACCAATGGCTCAGTGCTCAGCTGCTACCCGAAAGGTCGTTAGTTCAAACCCACCGGTAGCTGCCGATCTGCTCCCATAAAGACTGCTGTTGTTAGCTGTCATCAGTCAGCTCCAAGTCAAATGGACGACAGAACCCAACGCCATGGGTCCCGCGCCAGCCTTACAATCCTTGTTCTGTTGGAACCAACACTGTTACCACTGTGTCAACCCATCTCAGCAAAGGCCTTCCTTTCACACTGCCCTCCCATTGTCCCAAGAACGAGGGCCTTTCCCAGGGCCTGGTTCTTCCTGACCTGTCCAAAGGACGTGCCGTGAAGTCTCACCATCCTGCTGCTAAAGGAGTGCTCTGGCCGTACTGCCTCCCAGACAGACCTGTCTGTCCTTCCGGCGGTCCGTGGTCCTTTCAATCTAATTCACCAGCACCACAATTCAGATGCACCCACGCTTCTATGGTCTTCATGATCCAATGTCCAACTTTCGAATGCACCCGAGGCGCTCGAATGTGCCATGGTTTGGGTCAGGTGCATCTTTGTCCTCAAAGTAACATCCTTTCTTTTCTTTTCTTTTCTTTTTTTAAATCATGTTATTGGTGGCTCATACAGCTCTTGTTACAATACACCCATCCATACATGGTGTCAAGCATATTCATACATTTGTTGCCATCGTCAATTTCAAAACATTTTCTTTCCACGTGAGCCCTTGGTATCAGCTCATTAACCCCCTCCCTCACAAACCCTTGATAATTTATAAATTGTTATTATTTTTTAACATCCTTGCTTCTCGACACTCTAAAGAGGTTAGGCAGCAGATTTGCTTACTGCAGTCAGACATCATTGGCTTTCCCGGCTGCTGCTTCCATGAGCAGTGGTCGTGGATTCAACCAGGAAAACTCTATGGAGCAGTCCGACTCTGCCACATGGTCACTGATTCAAACCCGACGGGGGATAGCACCTAAGGACAGCAGCAATGCCATAGAAGTGCCACTGGGTCAAATTACTTAATGTGTGGAGGTGCTTACAATGACGTCTCGCCCACCAAATGAAACCCCACTCACTGCCACCTTGACAATTCCAACTCATAGCAACCCTATAGGAAGGGCAGAGCTGCCCCGGTGGTTACTGAGGCTGTAACTGGTGA